AAAATATCTACAGAAAACTTGATCAATACCTTGTTATTAATCTCCTGAAACTTAACAGGTAAGCATATATAGGAAAAATGGGCTCTCTTTATTCCAAGAAATCAATAGATTCCTTGTTTTTATGAATCTGAATTTTCAGTATATTCTTATTAATGGTTCCTATGGACCAACAGAATGTGAGGAGCAAAAGAAAAATTATTCCTATTTCTTTGATGACTGGCTTCCTAAAAAGAAACAGCAGTCTGTTTGCAATGTTTCAGTTCATCAGACAAGCCAATTCATTCATTCCTGCTTTTGTTTTGTTTGTTCCATATTGGGTTCATGAACAATTCAAGATATAAAAAGGAAGAACATCCTTCCTGGGAAAAAATATGCAAATATATTATCTTTGTTGCAATCACACTCAAGATATATCGTGTGATTTGCTCAAAGGGGAATGCTTCATCCCTGAGATCTAGACCTAACCTCTTTCTTTTCTTTTTTTTTTATAAAAAATTATTGGTTTTTTTTTTTCATCAACATATGTTAATTTTTCCAATCAACAAGTTGTCTAGAGTTTGCTATGCTAATACATGTTCAATTCCTAATCCTTCATTCTTTGCTCTAGCCAAGAATAAAATAAGTTCCAAATTTGATAGTAGTCTGTATCTTCTTTATCTTTCAACCTCATAGTTAATCTGTCCATCTCTGCACATTCCAATATTTTCCTGATTATTTCTTCCTCTGATGGCAGTCCTTCATTCTTCCAGTATTGTGCAAAAATTATTCTTGCTGCTGTTGTGATGTGTAAGATTAAATATAATTTCTGCTTATTAGTCTTTTCAGGCATAATACCTAGTAAAAAAATATCAGGTTTAAAATCCACTTGTTCACCCAATATTTTTTCTAACCACATATGTATCTTTCTCCAATAAGCCTTTGCCTTACCACATGTCCACCAAATGTGATAATACGTGCCTATGTTATGTTTACATTTCCAACATCTATCTGACATATTTTTAAACATTTTTGCTAGTCTTGCTGATGGTAGGTGCCATCTATAAAACATTTTATACAGATTTTCTTTGTATGAAGTTGACATTGTTAATTTATAGTTTCTCTCCCATAACATTTGCCATTTTTCTAATTCTATATTATAGCCAACTTTTTTTGCCCATCTTGTCATTGTTTCTTTCACTTGTTCACTTTCCGTATCTAAAATTAACAAAAAGTTATACATTTTCTTGATTAATTTCTCATCTGAGGTTAACAAAAACTTATCAAACACAGTTTGATCCTTGTAAAATCCATACATTTTTACATCTTTTTTATATCTACTTTGTATCTGTAAATTCCAAAAAACCTGGAATTTTTAAATATATTTTAGCTTTAATTTTTTCCCATACTGTTGACAAGGCATTTCTTATAAAGTGATTTTGAAAGTACTTATGGACTCTGTTTTTCCCATACCATAAAAAGCATGCCACCCCAATTGTAAATCATGTCCCTCTAAATACAATAACCTTTTATTTCTGAGTGTTATCTACTCTTTCACCCATGTTAACACAGATGCTTGGTAATACAATGTCCATTCCAGCAACTCAAAACCTCCATTTTCCTTAGCATCTTATAATGTTTTCATCTTAATTCTAGCTTTTTTCCCCTGCCAAATAAAGTTCAAAACCAATGAATTTAAATCTTGAAAGAATTTTCTCTCAAGTTTTATCAGAATCATTTGAAATAGAAATAAAATCTTTGGCAACACATTCATTTTTACTGTAGCAATTCTTCCTAATATTGACAGCTGCAGATTTTTCTATCTTTCCAAGTCTAGCTTTATTTGCTTCAATAATTTTGTATAATTGTCTTCTTTTATTGATGAACACTTAGCTGAAAGATGAATACCTAAATATTTAACTTTTTTCACTATTTGTACCTCTGTTTTCTCTAATATTTGCCTTTTTGTTTATCTGTGAGATTCTTTACTATTACTTTGGTTTTTTCTTTATTTATTTTTAGTCCTGTCATTTCTCCATATTCTTCTATTTTTCCCCATAGTTTAGGAATTATCTCTAAAGGTTCTTCCAAGATAAACACTAAATCATCAGCAAATGCTTGTAACTTATATGTTTCATCTTTTATTTTCAATTCTTTAATTTCTGTATCCTGTCTTATCCTTCTATTTAGTACTTCCAAAGTAAAGATCAATAATAAGGAGATAGTGGACACCCTTGTCTTGTACCTTTTCTTATCTTAAAGCTCTCAGTATAATCTCCATTCACTATGGAGATTTGGGTATTGTGGTAGTATAACTGACAGTTCATTCAGTCTTTCTCTAACAAAATGTAAAGGGGAGATATCTTGTTTCCTTCAGATGAGAAAATACATGCTTGCTTAGAAAATGAAATGCTAAAAGGAAGATGGATGGCCTGACTTTCCAACTGCTCCCCTTCCTAGATGGGTTTATGGCCATCCAAAAGTCATCTGGGTCATTCCTTGGTGCTCCCATTCAAATCCAGGAAGCAGCATTGCCAGAGAACCAGCTCTGGAAGCAAAGTGAGCAGATCATCACCAGGAAAAAGAAAAGTTCCTACTGCTCAGCAGCCATCTTAAAGGGTGTATAATTAATTAAGAGTTATTATGACATCATTTATTGCTGAATGATGGCTCAAAGCTTCAGTGATATTCCAAGAGAAAATAAGGAAGTTTCCAATTCTCTGTGATTTCCAAGGGAGCAGTACAAAATTCTGGAGAAAATAAGAACATATAAAAATATTGTTTAGAGTTTAATATTTGAATTTATATGATCTCTGGTTAATGAAGAAAATGGAAAATCTAATAAATAATGAATAAAGATGAATTTTCCATCTGCTAATAAGAGTTTTCAAAACATAATATGTTTACTATCTATGAATGTGTTGCCCCACTCCAACCCCCATACATACAACAAGAATTCTACAGGTGTTTATTCAACCCCCTCCAACAGGTCCTCAGAAAGCACCCCCATTGCACAGGTGCTGATTCCAAGCTCAGCATGGCAAGAATCGCTGGGTAACTGAGTCCAACAGGCACACACAAAGTCCAGGAAGACAGTCCACTATTCGAATAGGTCAAGATACACAACATGAGCACACATTGCTCCAGCAATGCTCAAGTCCTCAGAATGGGATTAAGTAGGCAATATTGGTGCAGCCCTTCATGAAAAGTCAGGTTGCCTCCTTGTGAGTAGTTTAGCTGACCAGTATTGTGCCTGTCTTCTCTCTGGTCTACATGTCCTTGGATCAGGAGGAGGTGTGGATTTCACTTCCTTCTCCTTGCTAATGGGTGACAGCTGCTCCTGTTCCTTTCCTGGAGCTTCCTGGTCAACTTGCTGCAGCTGTGGCTTGCCTTGCTCAGCCTCAGTCTTTTGCTCATCCAATTGACCCAGGTGAGGCTGCTCCATCAGGCTAGCACTGTCCGAGCCCTGATCTTGACCAACACTCAGCTCTATGCTTTCCCTCTGCCAACTCAAACTCACCCTGCTCCTCTGAACTTGTGTCCAGAGAGGCAGATCCATGACAATGAATGCCCTATGACTTTTAACAAGAATTAACAAAATAATGCAAACAGAACAACCAGTCCTCCAACAATAAACTCTGAACATCACAACAATCTCATGATGAAATATTATTATAAGATCTCCTTTGAAGTTGATAATTGAGTTGCATCAGAAAATAAAAAAGTGATTAATCCAAGAAGAATAAGCTTCTTCAGTACATCTGAGAGCTGAAAAAGCTTCTTGGATGAGAAGTGAAATGTCTGCAAAGAAAAAAAACAAAATCCAGTTGCCTTTAAAAAAAACATTTTTGAAGGTCTGGTTTACTTTATTAACAAAACAAAAAATTAACTGATAATATCTTGTATCTCTTTTGGGTGAATGATGAAAAGATAAATGATTAGATTTCCCCCCCTTTATTTAAACACCCTATATTAAATAATTAATGTAAGTTCAAAAACACTTATTAGTTAAGAAACATCAGTGACAATCCTAAAATGATTAAGCTTATTTGTGCAAAAATGAAGTTATAATCCACATTATGTCCTGAATTCTACAAAAACTAAATGATCAATCATTGAGTTAATAATAAATATAATCAAATAAACCTGCCTCAATAAGTTGCTGGATATATCCACATGCCTTTAAAAAAAGTGATTTTTAAAAATAAACAATGTCTGTATTTTATCCCTCCACACCTCTTATTTGAAGGAGGTAATTATGAGGTATTGTCAGTATAAGGAACAATTTTTGAGGTAAGGTTCCTAAGGCATATGATACTTATGCTCCAGATTACAAGCGTATTTGGTTCCATTCCCATCTATGACAAATTATAGTGTATATAATTTTTTTTTCTCGGTTGCTTTCCTATTTTAAAACTGTGCAACTGAAGTATGTACATTGTGGTTATAAGTTGAGGACTACCTGTATATTGCCTCCACAAAATAGAAACAATTTATCTGGACCAGGATTTTAGAAAAAGAGATTCAATTCAATTCAATATAAATATATTTGGAGGTGTTTTTTTTTAAAAAAGATAATTACAATAATCTGGAAGTAACTTCAAGTTAATCCAGGACCGAGAGGTGGAGAGTGCACATATAGAAAGAAGGACATAAAAAATATAGCCGATAGTATAGGTCACTTGGTGTCATCTGTATCTAAACGTGATCCTGCAGATTTTCAGGATTTATTTTCTTGGGGGAGGGGACATTATTTTTCCAAAGTAATAAACTACAAGCAAAAGAAACAATTGAGGGGAAAATAATTAATGGAGAAATCTTTTTTGAGGCTAGCAATTTGTTTGTAGATTAAAACTTTATAGAAAGTCAGATAATCAACAGCAAGCAATCTCAATGGATCACTTAATTGAAATGCCTGGGAAAGCCACTTTAGGGACACACCTGTTTATTGTAGAGAATGCTAGTGTTAAGTTTAATGATGGCTGGATACCTATGAGTTTGAAAATCACTTGTGACAAGTAAATTCATAATAACATAATAATTCCTTGTACAAAGCAGTATGTACTTACTGGCAGGGTCTCCAGGTGTTTCAGACTTTAAAAGAGACAAGATAGAACAGTTATTGTAATCTATGTTTTACCACAAGATGGAGCTTCTGCTAGCAAGACTGATAGCTGGACAAAACCTATTGGAAAGGTGCTTCCTTCCTATACCAATCCTTGTGAAATTTTCGTTCATTAGATAAAAAGAGAGAGATAACACAGCCCTGGTGGTTCATTTTGGATTAGACTGTTGGTTCTAAATGGAATAAGGTCACTCTGAATAATAAAGTTGGGATTTCTAATTATAACTGATCCAGCGGAAGATACAATTGCATGATTTCCTGATTATGTTCTTATTTTTGGATATTTGCTGAACTGAAAAAAATGTTAGTTGCAGAAAAAGAAAATGAGACAGGCATCACCGAATTTATCTTCTTAGGTTTGGGAAATCCTGGTGAACTACAGCCTTTTCTTTTCATGCTTTTCTTGGTGATTTACCTTGTGACAGTAACTGGGAATCTTCTCATCATTGTGTTAGTTGTAGCTGACCAACACCTTCACAGCCCCATGTACTTCTTTCTGGGGAATTTGTCTTGCCTTGAAACCTGCTATTCCTCAACTGTCTTGCCAAAAATGTTGGCCACTTTGTTTACTGGAGACAGAATAATAACTGTAAGTTGTTGCCTAACCCAGTATTTTTTCTTTGGCTGTTGCATAGCAACAGAAACATTTCTCCTTGCAGCAATGTCTTATGACCGTTACTTGGCAATTTGTAGACCTTTATTTTATGCTTCTATTATGAGCAGGAAGTTTTGTTTCCAGCTTATGGCTGGTGCGTGGATAAATGGTTTGATAGTTAATAGCATTGTTGTGTTTCTGCTAGCCCAACTTTCTTTCTGTGGATCCAATATAATAGATCATTACATTTGTGACTTAACTCCATTGGAAAAACTGACTTGCAGGGACCCGACACTATTTAAACTCATTGTTCTTCTCTTGTCTTTCATTTTTACCATTCCTCCATTTTTACTGACCTTCAGTTCTTACATTTTCATCATTGGCAGCATCATAACAATTCAATCTACCCTTGGAAGGCAAAAAGCTTTTTCAACCTGCTCCTCTCATCTTGTGGTGGTTTGTCTTTTTTATGGCACATTAATCATTGTCTATATGTTCCGAGATTCCCCCACTATGAAACATCTCAATAAAATTTTCTCTATTTTTTACACAATCCTAACTCCTCTGGTCAATCCTCTCATCTATACTTTAAGAAATAAAGAAGTTCATAAATCCTTAAGGCGAATGTTTAGAAAATGTTCATATGCTTTGGGAAAATATCCATAGAATTCTTCCCTTGCCTTTAATGATGAATGTAGTTGCTAAACCAGATTCAAGCATGTTTTTCCAATCAAAGCTGCTAATCTAGATTTGAGGTTTCCTTTTCTTCTAGGACTGCAAAGAAGCTGCTGGTTGGAGTGTTGTTTACTATCTATTCTCCCATGAAGTTTTATAATTGTTACATTGAACTTTACACATTGACTTTTCTTTTCAGTTTGGAAATAAATTGCTCAAATATCCAAAAAATCAGCAATTTTATGTTTCAGGATTGTAAAATAAATTTGCCTATATTAGAAAAATATAATTATTAGTTTTGCAACAACAGCAATAATAGAGGGTATACATACCAGAAGTTTAACTAAATTTGCACAAGAGTTGTTCTCCTGTGTACAATATATCATGCATCATGGCAGATACAATCATCTACCTATTGGTTTCTAAGAGGGCTAAATGCTTATAAAATATTGTAAATTAGCATATGTAAAAAAGGAAGGAAGTCAACCTCAGCAGTTTATTTTAATTTTTAAAAAATCAACTATTTTGTACAATATATTTTTATTACAATCATTAGAAGTAATGGTATTGGCAATATTCAGAATAGGCACATTTTTAAAGCCTAGTAAACTATTCTACATATTCTTCAAGTTTGAGTTCCTAATAAATTAATTTGTCGGAATTGACTTTTTCTTCCAGTGTTGAGCAAAGATTATTCTCACTACTGTAAGCATATATCTCTTTAGTTGTTATGTTTCTTGTTGATTATTTCTAATAAAAAGTTGTGATTTCATTTCAAATTTAAATTTTAAAACATTATGTTATGTGTAACTTTTGCATTATTTTTATTTCTACACCACATTTATACACCACATGTTCATTTTATTTCCTGGTATTTCCAACATCTATTGCTGTATGATTTACCTATCTTAGATGATATTGATAGATGATGGTAGTATACCATCAATAATACATTTTATACCAATTTTTCTTTAGCTTACAACAGTGTAAATTGTATAGATTTAGTCCATCATTCTTCCCACTATTGTATAGTAACTATTTCTTTGAAATTTTTATGCATTTTATTGTAATTTTTTGTTCCGTGTCAAGTCTAAATAAAAGTTTGTATTTACAACCTAGTAAATGTTTTGATTTGTATTAGCACTTCAAATTTATTTTTTTTCTTGATGTTCCTCCTTCCTTCTTGAGATCCAATTTATTTTTAAGTAAATCAGCTATATTCCATCTTCCATTAAGTAATTGTTCCTGTGTTTTTAAGTTCATAGAACCTGAGTGTACTGTGTCTGCATATGCAATTACTGTAAATGTATCCAACATAAAAAACATACTTTTATCAAGCTTTGCCTGATAACATGTCCCTTTGTATTTATCCCCCTTTGTATATCTATGCCATAAGTCCATTGGTTAAACCAGCTACTTCTAGAACTGCCATTACACTATTTGGAGACTTTATTCATTGCCAGCAGCTTATTCTGTAGTACAATTTAAAACATGGAAGGGCAAGGCCACATCTCCCTTTAGAATCTTGCATAATTGCTGTGTTTTATTGATTGTTTCACTGAAACACGATGGGTACCTCCTGTGCTCTCATATATGTACCGAGGGGGCAATTAGGGTAACAAGTAGTGGAGCCATTCCAAAGACACGCTCGGTTAGCAATGTATTAACACACACAGGAGCTCATTCTGTTAGTGAGAGAGAGAAGGGGGGCCATAAGAAACAGGAACAATGAGATGACCAACCTCCAGGAGTTTACACACTGGCAAGGAAAGCAACAGGGCTGGCAAATAGAAGAACAGAGCTTGAAGCACACAGGCCAGATAGCGCAGCAATACAGAGGCAAACTAAGATGAATGAGGGGGTGGGGAGAGACGACTGAGAGCGGATGAACAGCGGATTTCCAGGCACCCACACATGCACAAAGAAAATAACAGCAATTGGAGAGGAGAGGACAACTTTAGAAAGGGCCCCTTTAAGAACTACACAGCCGATTCTAATGAGTGGACCAATGACCCAATCTAGGGTCAAAGCGCAGAGTCAACCAGCCACATAAAAACGGACTCCTGGATCCAGCATTTTATACCCTGATGATGTCGGTAGTGTGGCCGACAAAAGCTTGGTTTTGTAGATTAAACATTTGTGTTTATGATTTTATCCTGGTGATCACCTTATTTTATTTCACAGAATAGGTTCATTATAAAGCATGAATATGGCCTTATGGATTCTTAGGATACATTACCCAAGTTGTACCACAAATGAGTTAATTAGTCTTCAAAATTAGTAAGTTTTGAACAACATAACAGTCTTTGGGGATGTATACATGAATTGCATCAGAAAAGTAGAAATAAATCTCCTGGAATTAACTATTGCATATCTTTTTTTAAAAAAGTACAAAATATTCCAGTTTACCTAGAGGGTAAGTACATTTATCTTGCTGAAGATAAATGTCCACTTCAGAAAGGATGTTCTTTTTTCTGATATTCTTTTACATTAAAATATTGTCTAAATTCATAGAATATACTAAATGATAACATGATATCATTTTTACTTCAGACTAATCTGAGAACCTAGTGTATGTAGATCACAAAACATAATGTATAGTTTACTCCTATCAATATAGCTTCTGTGAGTTACTCAACTGAACATCTGGATGCTTGCAAAGAGGTATTTCATTATGTCACAGATGACTTAGAATATACTTTAGTGTGCATGCTTGATTTTATTGAATAACACAGTCTTAGAGATTAACTTAATCCTGTCTAAGGAATACATTTCTTCTTCATGAAACAATATATTTGCTTCTCAGGACCACTCTTTATATAAACTATGAGAAATTGTGAGGATGCAGTTTAGAGTACTAGAAAAATAAACAGTACTGTGTGTACTTAGTGATTTTCATTTCAAAATCCAGAATAATATATTGTAATCTAGTGACTCCAATATTAATATGCATGACTACTTAATAAACTTTTCAATATATTAATGTTCTATATTTTATATTTTGAGATAAAAATATGTGGAAGCCAACATTATTTCACTCCTGATTTCACAAGAACTGTGACTGTGCTGCATTGGATTTCAAACTTATACAATCAAATAAATATAATCACAGTTTTTCAATGTTCCAGACTGATTGACAACATCTCTTGTACAAGAATGTGTTAAGATTAAGACTCACCTTTCCTTGTGTATTGTCCTCATCAATTATTTATCTTCTGATTGATTCCATGAGCAATTTCATTTTCAAAAAGGTTTATTTAAAACACTGAATGCAGAGTGGGATATGGAGAGACAACCAGATATATAAACATAGTCAATTTGTACACAACTAGCTATCAGTTATTTTTGAGCATTTCACATAGTTTTCAAGGAAAGTGACCTAATATTGTAGCTTTACCTGTTTCACTTAAGAGAGTCAGTTTGGTATAGTGGTTGGTATCAGATTAGAACTTGTGAATGTGAATTGACTTTGAGTTCTAGTTCTGCCTTAGGCACAAAGCAAACTTGGTGAACTTGACCCAGTTGTTCTCTTTCAGCCCTAGGAAAAAGGCGAGGGCAAACCATTTCCCAAAAACTGAAAGCACAGATACCTATTTCATTTAGAAAAATCATAAAGAAACATATGGAAAACAATAAGAAATTGATACAAGGGAGAAGAAAATAAAAACATGTGTAACTTATATATTGTACTATAACTCGAGTGCCTCATCCTCACTACATAGCAGGTATGTAGGACAAAGAGTAACTTTCCTCCTTTAAGGCACATCATACTGAGCAGAGCTAATTTTCCTTTTCTCTGATGAGAATAATGGTGAACATCAGCCATTACAGTACATTCTCAGGATATTCTTCTCTTTTCCCTAGTATTGAATATTTGAATGGAAGGGGCACTTTATACTTTCACATTTGAACTTGTCCTCTTCTTGTTATATATTCTAGAACTTATGTGACATTTCATTAAATGGAAATGCTGGAGATAGAAAAAGAAAACCAATCAAGTATCAGAGAATTTATCCTTCTTGATTTTGGGAATCTCCCTGAGATGCAATCTTTCCTTTTCTGGTTCTTCTTGGTGATTTATCTGATGACAATATTTGGGAACTTCCTCATATTTCTGCTAGTTGTGGCTGATCAACATCTTCACACCCCAATGTATTTCTTTCTGTCAAATTTGTCTTGCCTGGATACTTGCTACAGCTTTAATTTCTTGCCCAAAATGACTGGAAAGAGAACTATTAGTGTGAATGGATGCCTCGCCCAATATCATTTCTTCTGCATTTGTGCATCAATAGAAACATACCTTTTAGCTGCAATGTCTTACAATAGCTATTTGGCAATTTGTAGACCTTTAGAGTATGCTTCTATTATGAACAACAGATTCTGTTTCCAACTCATGGTTGCAATAGGCATAAACAGTTTGATATTTAATGTCATTCTTGTAACTGTTGTCGTTCAATTAACCTTTTGTGGGCCTAATATCATAGATCATTACTTTTGTGATTTATATTCATTGGTGAAACTCTCCTGTAGTGACACAAGTCTCTTTGAATGCTTTACTTTTTGCATGACCATTGTTTTCACTATTCCTCCATTCCTGTTGACCCTCACTTCATACATTTGCATAATCATCACCATCATAAATATCAAATCCACCAAAGGAAGGCATAAAGCCTTTTCAACCTGTTCATCTCATCTTGTGGTAGTTTGCCTCTTTTATGGCACATTATTCATTGCCTATTCATTGTCAGACACTCCCACCCTAAGATACCTCGATAAAATCATTTCCATTTTTTACACAGTCATGACTCCTTTAGTTAACCCTCTTATCTACAGTTTGAGAAACAAAAAAGTTCATAAAACATTAAGACGTCATTTGGATAAAATGATGATTTTTTTATCATTTGTCACTTGATACTGGCATTTGTTTCTCAATTCTTTGGCAATCAAATTTTAACAAAAACATGACAATCAGTCGTCAGTAATAAAGTGCTATTCTGTTCATTAGTATTGCCTGAGAATTTGAGTTAGTACCATGGTTGAAACAGAGTTTAATTGGCTTCTGCAAGTGATTTTTCAATTGGCAAATGCAACTGACTTTTCATCTTCTCCCGCTTTATCTGAACTTGGTCTACCTCTTTCTTATTGTATGGGCATTATTTTCAATGATTTAGTTTAAAACATATTTGAAAATGATTGATATTTTTTTAGCAGAATTTAGATATTTCTTTGCATAGTTTTTTTTCTACAATATTTAATGCGTTCTCTTACCTGGACTTTCTGTAGATTTTTCATATCACAAAATAAATTAGTCACTGAAGTTGTGATCAAATTGCATCTGAAAATTGTCTCACTTTTTATGGATTTTTCTTTTTTTAAAAAAACAAACAAACAGAAAACTAATATAGAAAAAAATCCAAATTACATATATTTGTAGTAGTTTTCTTTGTTCTTAGTTTTATCTGTTTAATGTAATTTTAATAAAATTATTGAAAAAAAGGAAAACTATTATGTGGTTTACTATGGTTACTTATTTTGATTAATTTTATTCTATTATTATATATGCTGAAAATATTGTTTTTATATAGATAAATCTATGTTAATGGTCAAAATATTCTGTGATAGGACTGTAAATAGTAAAAAATATTGTGAAACCCACATGAGTTTTGTTCCAGAACAACAGAAAAACTGTGGAAGAAATTAAATATAATAGCTGTTTCTTAATAACAAAAGTTTGACAAAGTATATTTTAAAAAGTTAATTTATTTAGTTAGCGGAAAATTTTTGAGTATGTATTACACATGTATTATTTGGACAAAGTGCTTATCCTCTATGACAATGCGTTGTAACCAATTATGTATTCATACATTTGTATTTCCTTGCAGTCCTGTGATAAATGTAACCCCATTTGTATGTTTGGGGTCTTGTCCTTGCATGTTATCTAGCATGTCCATCTTTGTTTGACCAAGCTCTGAAGATTATATAAGCTTTGAAGACTCTGCTAAATTGTGTCCTAATATAACTGGCCCTCATTGCCTTAACAAGTAATAAAAGGGGATTATCTTTTTCATTTGCAACTATTCCTCTATGCCAATGGAAAGTGGTAGTTTTAGGAAGATATGGTATAATTTTGCCATATTGAAATTGTTTTGTGAGGCATTAGGGAATGTAAACAGCATAGTTTGGAAATCCCACATTTTTACCAGACTATGGTTTTTACACATAAGGTGTTTAATACATATAGAAA